TTCTCCAAACAGATCCAAACAGTTTACTGTGGCAGTTCGATCTTAGAAAAAAAGAGCTGGCCACACTGACTGGCCGCGCCCCTGAACTCTGTGGCCGGGCTCTGTGGCCGGGTCTTGTCCTCCTCTTGTCCTTCTCTTGTCCTGCTGTTGTCCTCCTCTTGTCCCGCTCATCTCTTGTGGCCGAACAATTAGCGAAATGATAATATTGGTCCAAAGAAATCGTTTTTGACTAATATTGGTCCGAACGAATCGTTTTGAAACTGTTTGGGGTCTATGCTGGTATAATGCCATGGATTTCCTACATGGAAGAACTACATGACCAGTTCTGAACTACGTGATCTGCTGAAGAAGCGGCCCTTTGATGGTATCATCCTTTGTACGCAGAGGGGCTCCCGTTTGATAGATGAGGACGAGATACGAGCCAATTGCCACGTGAACCACCTTCGAAGCAGAGGTAGTTGTGTGTGTGTATATATATATATAGAGAGAGAGAGCCCCAGAACCAACCCTTAAAAGAAAAAACATAGTGAGCCACCTTAACATCCGCACCCTAACAAGACTAGCAACCTAAACCAACGAGTAGCGGTGGGGGGAAGACGGAGAGCGCCCAGGCCCTGACAGCGCAGACCGAAGAGTTTCGGGACCCAGAGGTCCAACTCACGTCTCGCGGTCCAACTCGGCTGGGAAACCTCGGCTGGACCCCCAAGGTCAAGCATCCAACCGAGCATCCCCCTGGGGTCCCTTCGAGCATCTTGAAAGAAAGCGTCCTACCTTTGTCCAAGAGTTGGGTGTAACTTCTGAATTGACCAGCGCGATTTCGTGTTCCTACCTTTGTGCCTGAGTTGGACATAGATGTTTTTGTGTATTGGTTTTTCAAGGTTACATGTCCAACAAGCGCGTGGTGGAGTTTTGAACCAATTTCGCAGCTGTTCGTGGATGGCATCCCTTTTTGCAAGGTGTTTGTCGCCCAAAGAGTTGACGCGGCCGACTTCATCGGACTGAATAAATCGTTTGAAACCGCCGCCTCCGCCGTTTCGTCCCAAAGTCAGTTCATCATCCAAGTTCATTTCAGATCCCGCAATAGAGCCAAAGATAGCCAAAGTGTCGAGATTGCAGATTGTTTTATCCCATTGAACCCTATATGTGTATAACCTTATTTCGTCTTATTTATGTATTCAAGTGAAACCTAAGACCCAGCCGGGCGTCACTCATGACCTGGCCCAAACATCTCAATCCAAAGCGTCCATCGTTGAGGTGGGTCTGCCCAGGTCCAAAGGTCCAATCCCGGCTGCAAATCTGCTTTGGTTCTGAAAGGATCCCTCCAGAACAAGCATCCCACCCCATGGACCTGTCAGATGGACCTGGCACATCCAACCCCTCAAATCGCACACGCGCACAGAGCCGCGAGGGCGACTGAGGTCTTTGACGAAAGTCTTGGACCAGCAGGAGGGGCTCGCGCGGAGGTCGGAGTGGAATTGTGCACCGACGTCTGGGACAGTCCAAGGTGCTCAAGTTGAACAGGGGCCTTCTACCAACGGGCCGGTCCACCACCCACAACGGGCTGTGGTGCGAAATGACAAATCTAAGCAACATGGATGCACGCAATTAGCTTGGGAAAGAGTCGTGAAAAGCGTTTCCAAGGATTGAATGGGTAATTACATTGGGGAACAATTATCCTGTGCACTTTCCAGCAGAATTGACACTTCAACAGTCAATTCAGTTGCCCCCAACTATTGAGGTGTTGGAAGCTTTTAGGGTTGTGTAATCCATTGCTGTTTGTTTGGGATCTATTGCCGCACAAGCTCCTTTTCATTCTTCTTGCGTGCATCCACTACACATTCCTCATTTGTCGTAGACAACGATGTCTTCAAGTTACATAGACATGACGCGAAGATCATTTGCTTTCTAACAGCAGAAGACGTTATTACCGCCCCGGCCCATCCCCACCCCACCCCCGCGTCCAGACCATCGTGCACTGACTCTTTACAAGTAACGTGCGTCAACTATATATATATATACACGTTCTCCATCGTAGACAACGATGTCTTCCAGTTACGTAGACATGACGCATCTATCATCCGTCTTCTAATACCCACCGTGAGGAGCCTACCAATTAAGTCGCTGAAACTGTTATGGCATCAATGACAACGCCCAAAAGGGCACAAAACACTACGACCCGTTATGGGCGCTACATAGTCCACCCCCTTCTTGCCCTTTTTTGGTTCTCATCTTTCTTCGCCAATCCCTCAAGTTCGAGGTATTTTGTGTTGCTGTCCGCAAGAAAGAACCAAGGGGCAAGAGCTTGATTCACATGGGTAGTTGGTCAATATTGATCAATATTGCCTCCACTCGCGATTCAATCATATCAATATAATATTCAATCGATCATCAGTTTAAGAAACATGTGCAAATCCCCCCGGCGATCTCTCCCAAAATTCAGTGTTTTTAATGTAAATCACACCCCTTTGTCTAGGAAGTTTTAAAGAGTCCATACATTTCATGGCTCGACTCAAGATTTAAATGTCATAAACATTCGTAAACCATGTCATATACAATCCAAGTTCCACCAGTCGTGTCGACACACAGAAGTCTCTTCTCAGCCCACCGCTTCATCCGAACGTTTCCACCGGCGAGGAGGTGGTGCCCAGCTGGGAGCTTCAACTGTGCAGCGCCGCACGGGTGCAGGCGCTCGAGGCACCTGGTGTCGGCCCGCGGTGAGTGTGAGATCGTCGTCGTCGTCGACGTGTGAAAAGGCTGAGCCGAGCTCACCGGGTGGGACAGGTGTGTTCTTGGGCTGTTCTTGGGTTTCGATTGGGGAATTGTTGTTGGGTTTGATGTGACGATGATTGTGTTATTGGGTTATTGGGAGATAGTTGGCTCAGTTTTCGGGGCCACTTTTGGGCCGAGTGATGATTTTTGTGATGTGTTTTTCGACCAACTCATGGGCAGGAGCTCATGTCTTGGAAGAAGCTACGACTGGCCCTGTCGAAGGACATGTCAGGGTCGATTATGGGCCGCTCGGTGGGATGGGTTCGTCACTTCAGGTGCTGAGATGGTCTTCGGCTGACAGGTTCGGAATCATGGCTCCCAGCAAGTCCCTTCAGACAGGTTCAACTGGTGTGTTAGGACTCCAGGACCCATTTCACCGTCCTAATTTCCAAGACCTTCAAGCTTCCAATTGCCAGTTCGCACCCGTCAAGCCGGGTGACTTTAGGCTTTGTCGGTTGGGTGAAATATCCGATCAGTGGCAGCTCCGAAGACTTCGCTTGGAGTGAACCCAACCACCAACTGCGAGGTAACCTAGCGTTGCCTGGGCGGGAATGCAAGAACCTCCGATCAGAACCCGGCCTTAACCACATACCGACCCCTAGTCTCACCACACCGCTTGGGGAAAAAAACAACCGATGTTCGAATGCCTTTCGGGAAGATTCTGGGACCTGGAGGACCTGCAGGAACACATAGTGAGAAAAAGTATTCCAACCTTGAGATGTTTTGTCCTTTTTCCGGGTTTGGATTGGATGGTGCCTCCAGTTTGTAGCGCCGGCCGTGCAAGTGGAGACTAGATGTATTTCTATATATTTCATTCCCTTTCTGCATCAGAGAAGTTCAAGTTCTGCAGATTACACCTGCAAAAAATGTTTTTTCATGACACTATGATATGACTCCAAGATCAGGTCTCAGTTTTCGTGGGTTTCGACTCTTCTGGACCGGGCGACCGGCGGAGATTTGTGCAATTCCTTTTCGTTGGGGATTGAGCCGGACACCTGAAACCCGTCCGGAATCCCATCTGGAAGCCCCTCTGGAACTGGAGAACCGGAGCCCGTCCGCGCTCGCCCGTTTCCAAGGCTCAAGCGATCCGATCGTTGCGAGCCAAGGTGCTGCGTCATTGACGGAGAAGTCATTGAGGGCCGAGCTGGGCTTGAGCTTCTTGGAAGAAGATGCAGAGGCTAAGGACCAGAGCAGAGTTGCGGAAGGGCGGAAGGTAGATCATGGGGGCTGGGGGGGGGCTGTTGAGCTTATCATTTAAGGTCTGGATAGCATTGCTAGCTAAATGATAAGGTCTGGATAAGAAAGAACATGAACAGCCCCTCCCAAATGCACATTGGTGGTGCAGTCAACGTGAAGGGTGGCTTGGCCCTGGAGATGTCCAAAGCCCTGTAAATAGCGAACTCCCATAGGCCTACCCAATAAGTCCTTGATATCCTTAATATGCATCACTTGCATCACAAACCTTTGCCCCCCATGCACACATTCCAAGTCGAGAGAACGCTTACTTGTAAGGATGTGGGCTTGCAGCTGGCTGGGCTGTAGTGGAGGCTGCTGTTCATGTGATTTCTTATCCAAGTGGCACCACCAATGGTCTAGGCATGAAGGGTTGAGGGAAAATGGCATTGATGGTGACGAGCGAATGGGCTGGCAATGTTTCACCAGTGACAGTGAAGGTGCACACATGAAGTACCTCTGTTTATTCAAGAGGTGCAAAGTAGCCAACCCATCCAGGGATATTATCCAGAGTGTCTAGTACCATTCTTGTGAAATGGTTGAAGGCCTAAAGCTTGAAAGAATGGAGGCCCCATGAAGGGCCAGGTATCCTCAACAAATACAAAATACAGGCTTATCCAGTGAGCTTTTGATAAGCTCTTAATAAACCCTTATTAAGACCTTGATAGACCTCTATTAAGATGTTAATAAGCCCTAACCTGACCCATCACCCATCCATCACCTATCCAGAGCTTACGTGATAAGCCTATAAGGGCCCCCCCTCAGCCCCCCCTATGACTCCAATTGCTACTATATATATATATATTTATTTATAAGAGATACCTGTACGTGCTGGGTCGACCGGCATGTTTTCGTTGGGCCACGTCCCAACTTTCAAGACAACTCGACTCGCTGCGACTCGCGCCGCGGCAGGAGCTCTTAGCGCAGCGCTTGGTCGCCGCTCGTGCCGAGAAGTTAGATGAGACCACGACGGCCACGGGTTGCGCACTGCTGGCGCTGCATGGCGTTCAGGCGCAGAAGTGGGATGAGGCGAGGCGCTTGGTCTACCAAGGCGCGAATCTCTGACCGGGGGAGGGTGATTGGCGGTGTTGGGAGGACAAGCTTGAGATCGATGACTGGCAAGAGCAGGGTGCAGCTCTTTACCGACCATGTTTGGAAAGGGAAGGAATTTCGGTCATTTCGAAAGGGCTCCTTGCCTTCACAAGATCGACGGCGGCCGAGACCACCGGTGTTGGGATCCGAGATGGATCGGTGGCGATGGACGGTGGCAAGGCAGAGTTTGTTCGATGTGTGGCTCAGATGATCCCAAGGTGCGAGAGCATGTGAGAGCTCCAGACCATGATCCTGACTTTGGGGATCTTCTCAAGTTGATCGACCATACGTATTTTGGATGATGCTTTAAATGTATGTGTTGGGATCATGTGCATCCACCAGAAGCCCGACATCCATGCTGTGGATGTGCAGAGTCCTGGCCAGGCAGGACATGGCCAGGTCGGCTCAGCTCCAGAGGCATCAATCACGAGCCATTGACCATTGATACATTATGCATCATGATGCTACACTTCATGGAAGAATCATTTCAAGCGGAACGCGCACCCTGTTCGTAGAGGAACATGGTCCTCCAATGATGGGGGCCCTGTTGCTCTTTGTGCCGCTAAAAGTACGCTTCACGTTTCTTCAGTCCTCTCAGGGGGACACGGCTGGACGGTCCTGGGGTCACGACTGGTCGTCGTAGCGGAGCCGTGGACTCAGGTCAACTGCTTCGAATTCCAGGTGTTTCCGGCGTTTGGGGCCTTCCAGACCGGAGTTCCAAAGGAATTTGGTCCACCAAACTTCGGTGTTCCCGTTCACCGCATTCCAAAAGGATGCGAAGCAACAAGGGGAACGATTTGTGTGCGAACGGACGATGGCACTAGACTTAGGGACGTCCATACAGGGAGATCCCAAACAGTAGCCCCAGCCCAGAAGAGTTTGTCATATTCCTGGACAAAAGTGGGAGACATCGGAGACATATTGCAATATGCAAATTATTGGTTTGGGCCCGGTGCCTTGTCCATACATGGTCCGTGGTGCCCCAGCGAAATACCAGGCTACGACTCCTTTGCCATGACCTGGAGCCTGGGCACTGAACACGTAGCGGATCGAACGGATCGAAGTGGAGATTGCTACAATAACTTTGTTACTCAATTCTAGTAGCTTCTTGTTACTAGAACAGTAGTCATGGCCTCCAACCTAATAGCGATGACCTTCAACCTACTAGCTTCTTGTTACTATATAAGGCACATCAGGTGTGAGTCCTCATCCAGGGAAGCTCCATGTTTTCATTTGACTGAAAAATCCCGGGGAAAGTTGATTCTTTTCGATATTTGTGAGGAAGACCATTTCGTGCTTTGGCTAGGCTGTCACGTCATCAATATTCAATAACTATCATCCACTATATAGGGACATCTCTTAAATGTTCTTAAATTGGAAGCGTCCTTTTCTGTTTTCCCATGAGAGTTGAAGCCCACCTTTCGCCAGACCCAACCAGTAAGCCCAACAAGAACCAAGTGGCTTGGTTTCATTGTCACCAAACGTGCCACTCTCGTGGAAGCCGCCGAGGAATCGCTTGCCACTCCTGGCCGCTTCCGCGCGCCACGAGCGCCTGTCCGCGCTGCCCCTGCTGCAGAGTCTGGAAGCCTTCCTCGACGCGCCGACCGAAGTGTCCGCCGGTTCTGCGACGGCCTGTTCTGCGACGTCCCGCTGCGGGTTGAGTGTGCTACATGACAGGTGCGAGTGGATACGTGGATGGGGAGAGAGTGGAGACGGTGGAGCTGGAGGGTGAAGCCCTATGCTCCATCCAGGGACTGGGAGGTGGCCACTGGAGGTAGAGGGGAAGGATGGAGCTACAGGGATTTTTGCAGATGGCCGATGGACGAGATCGTCCGCGGTGTGGCTGGGGATGGGGTTTTGGCGAGGACACTCCTGCAGAGGTGGTGTGGGACGGAAGGATTGGAATGGATTATGGGATGTGAGGAAACAGTTAATTACAGTACTAGAATTGTAGAAGCGTGGGAAGACACCGCACAGTTTGGGAAACCGTTGTTTCTGCCAAATACGAAGGCTGTTGACTGGTGTTGATGACTGTATGATCACATAATTACTTCCCCAGGTCGGGTCCGACCACCTCAGAATCAGCTCGGCCCCGGCCCAGACCGGCGCCGACCGGGTGGTCCCACCCGCAGGTTCACCGCTTGGACCGATCATCTGCTCTTGCAACTCGGCCTGGCGCGCCAGCGCCATGACGCCCAGGGAGAGGCCTTGGCGTTTGCCCAGCTGGGGCAACGCTGTCGCGAGCGGCGGAACTGGACCGCGGCACAGGACATGATGAGGAGCGGGTTGCGGAGGATTGTGAGGAGCGCAACATCAGTCGACTGATGGCTAAGATCAAAAGAAGCTGATCCAAACTGCAGAGTCACTCAACCCATCTCTTCCATTCTCTTGATTGCCATGTTCCTGGGCCCAACATGCACAGAGACACTATATATATAATATAGAGAGAGACCATAGTAGATACTACGTTGAGGTGTTTAAGTTCTCCATCCGCCATCTGTTGAGCATCCACACTTTCTGTTTGACAGGATCATGTTTGATTTAGTGTGGCAGCGGTTTGACTTCTTAGAAAACCACATTCAAGAGGTGATCTTGGACTCTTGCACTCCATCAAAAAGGACTGCAAAGTATAGAAAAGTATGTGTCTTTGTCCCTTGCTTGCTTACATTATACCATTGTTCTCATCGTTCCTTACTTACTTCATCACAACAGTGACAAACAGTGTTCCTTCGACGAGTCGAAGCTGCGAGGAGATGTTTGCAGAAGCGGAAAGTACAAGATGTACGCTTCTTTGACAACGTCCTTGAGACTTGGTAGCAATCTGGATCTTCTCAACATGTTCAATCCAGACTGGGAGCTGCAGTGTTTTCTTTTTGGTCGTTTGGGTGGCTTGTAAGGCACCTAGAGAAGCGGTTCCAATAGTTAGAGTTTCTTTAGGTTCCAACTCTTTTGACATTTTTTGACCCTTTCAAATAAACTCTAGTTTAATCTATATTTTATATGTGTATATATATACAGTATACACACTCCCTGGAACTAACATAGACCAAAGGGCCACTTCCATGTGACTTCCATGTTGGTTCCAGGGAGTGCAGGAGGTCCAAACTCTGCACATCCCTCAGAATACCATTCTTCCAACTGTTCAAACAACAAAACATCCGCAGGAGGCATGTTTTGTGCCACCGTGGAGGGCGACCCACGGCTGTTGCCGACCCACGGCTGGTTGACTTCCCCCCTTTTATAATTGTTATATCTCTTTCTAGTGTTATTAGTTCACTGGCATATAGGGTAGATTCGGGACTATGGCAGTGAATGAACCCATCCAGGTCCTTGAACCACTTGTGTTGCACCAGCCACACCGGTTTCTCAACTTCAGATCCGAAAGCTGGGCGCCGGGGACCAAGTCCTCGGCCCGGAGGAGCTCAAGTTGGCTCAGAAGGAGAAGCCCTGCGTTGACTTGTGCGCCGTTGCACGGCGGGAGCTCTCCAAGCACCAGGCGCCGCAGGGCGCCAAGTCTCCCTTTTTGCGAGCGGGCGAGTGCTTGGTTTGCTCGTGCTTTGGAAAGGGAGCCATAAGAGGTGTCATGCCTACTACAGTGGGTGTGCCTTTTTGGGTGAGCCAATGTATAACGGTTTGAAACATGGATGCATCATGACCAAAAGAGGTCTTACTGGTGGAGTTCTTGACGCTATTGCTTTGAGTCGTACCGCGTTTAAATATATGTTGGGGACTGGTAATTGGGAGCGCCGTGCTTCAGGAGCCTGAAGCCTGCTTGCGCTACACCCTCATCCTGGCGAAGATCGCCAAGGAACGTCGTGCGTTCACCGAGCGGCCAAATGCACGGTAGACACGGGGTGCGACACGTCCGGGCGAGAGATGTTGTGGGAAACGGATTGTTTGAACAGACCTGAAGTGAGAGGAATTTGATGGAATTTGACATATGTTTGCGGATATATCCCTGAGGAGCCAGCTGCCTTTAATCTATTCTGGTCCGGCGCGGCAGTGAAATCTATTTTCTGGAGCATTTCAAGTGATCTCCAATGATAGAGCCGTCAAGCACTTGATTGGACAATTATGTGTGATTTGTTGCTTGAGGACCGGACCGATGCTTTTGATTTCTCCCTCAACCTCCTGGGAACCCTTTTTCTCAACACATCTGACAGGTTGGAGCCCATTGTTTAACTATAAGGAAGGTGTCAAGGGACAAACAAGTTCATCATTGGCAAACAGTCGCAATGTCAGCAGATGCTTTTGTGAAGAAAGAACCAACTGCTGGGAGAATTGACTGACTTTGCAGGCTTTGTGGCTTGAGTTGGGTGTAGCCCCTTGAAAGTTCTCTTGGATACAGGATTTGTCCGTTTACGACACGCGCTCACGAGCTTTGGCGGATTAGGAACTGCAGTCGCTGATGGACTAATTTGTTGGAGTTTGTTGGAGTTTGCCAGCTACTAGGAGCAAAGGACGCTACTAGGGGCTCCTGGCATCGCTACTAGGAACAAGAAGCTACGAACGGGGATCCTGGCCTTACTAGAAGCAAGGAAGCTACTAGCTTCGTTGATGACCGAATCGGACAACGTATGTATTTTCGTGACGGCGGAAGACCGACGGGTCGGATGCCTCGGTACCGGGGAAGCGCCGGGCTGCGTTGAAAACGTGTGCGGGTGGACCTGAGATGTCATGGTCTTCATGGACCCAGTTTCCCCGCACCATCAAAAGTAGATTTATACGTATTATACACGTACAGTATTTGAAGTTGTGTTTAGTGTCGTTGTTTCCTTTGTGGAGTGAGTGATGTTCAGACGTTGGTCGCATGCTACGATCCAAACAAACAAGAACTGCCTTCCTTGCAACAAACATGATGGCATGTCCACTAAGCCAATGACCATGTGAAACGGCGAAAGATGTTTCGGATCGCAGGTAAAGCCCACATGGTGAGCCGTTAAACTTTCGGAAACATGGTGAGCATCTTCTTTGTCCCCACTCCACCGGTGTCGCCAGGCTCGGTCGAACAGCTCGGTGTCGCCAGGCTGGCTGGGAACGTCGGGAGATGAGCCACGAAGCGGCCTGGGACGCGCTGAGCTCCGCACGAGGCGGGGGGGTGCCGGTAGAGTCCACCTGGGCGTGTGTTTTTCTGTTTTCTTATTTAAGGGGGTGTTGGTGTCTTTTTTCCAAGATGAAATGGATGGATTCTGGGTTCTGAAAGAAGATGTTTGGAAAAGGAGCTTGAACCTGTGGGAGCTTTGAAGTTCAATAGTACTTTCTGAAAGCTTTGCTGGCGGGCGAGCCAGATGGGTTGCAGCATCTCTGCCAAATGAAGCAATTGCCGACTACGATGGGAGCGTCAGATGCCAAGGGTCTGTGAACTTCTCTATCTAATCACTAATTAATCTAAGAGTCTAAGCGGGGGTTAGGGAGGAGCGTGAACAAATCCAAGTGGGTTGACCTCCCAAGCCGGCTGAGAACTGAACGCATGCTGTGGTCATGCCGCAAACTGCCAGTCATTGTGCGTGGATTGCAGGCTTTTCTGCTTTGGGAAAAGTGCCGCTTGCGAGGATTGACTCTGAAACCACCCTGGTGTCATTCAATACTACACGCTTGAGACATGGTATCTACAACCCACATTGTGCTTGAAAGGTCCTACACTTCAGGTTTTCTTGTTTTGGGGGGTCCTACTAGACCTTTGTGAGGACTCAGCAGAACTTGTTCCACGGGAAACAGGTGATGAATTGATTTAAACGGACAGTGAAATCTGCACGACCTGGGCGCACAGGTCTGGCGGAGAAGTGCAATGTCGGAGTGCCCAGATGCAGGACGTTTTGCTCATGCGTTCCTAGTCCTAGAACCTCATTAGGCAATCATCTCTGTCCAGCTTCCTTAAAGGCAGAGCATTCTGCCCGTTTGCACAAAGAACGCCTAAGCTGCAGCCTCGAGGGTCAAAAAGCCAGCACAATCACATCCATTCTTACATGCAGGAAGCAGAGCGAGACTTTGAATGAGCAAACTTTTGAGAACACAATAGATTTGCCACCTGACGCTAGTCCCCGGTCTAAAGTGTTTGAGACTTATGTCACTCACTCTCCCCGCAAAAGGCTGCCATTTCTTTGTCCACCCAACTGCTCATAGTAGTGAGGGGGGGAACGGGTAAGGATGCCTAAGCAACGTGTAAGAACGCCTAACTGATGGGAAGCACACCTAGGCCAAGAACAAGATATCAAGTCAAGACAATGAAACATAAGACAGCATAGAAACACTATCATAAATATCTAATATACAATTGCTGCAAAAGTGGTCATATGCAAGTTCGGAACGATCCTCTTGGTGGGTACATCGGACACTGCAGCATTAGCGTACCACCACAACTAGCTCATGTGGATCGTGTCATTGATCCCAACTCTATCTCAACGGCTCAGTTATGTCCCACTTTCTGCGACCCCAAACCACTGCCCTTCTTCGTCGCCCACCGGCCCTCACCGGCCCTCCACCTCACCTCGCGGCAGGCGCTGGAGCAAAGCCTCACCTACGCGCAGCTCTCCTCCTTCGCCGACGCGGTGCTCCGCCGCGAGGAGGCCCACAGTGACCGCGGAGCCCTCCGCGGCGGAGGGAAAGGCGGTATAGACCGGTGTGAGGAGTCGAGACCGGTCGACACAGAAAGGCGTCGTTTTTAGACCGGTTCATGTGGCTGATGAAGCTGCTTCCTTGCAGGTTTGGATCGATATACACGAGCCAGCTAACAAGAGGTATGAATACCTGAATCTGATGTGGTTCTTGTTGACGTATGCATGCACGTGCATGGCATATGTTATGTTAACATGCAAACTTCTTGTATAGATCCGATGAGTGGGTTTGTTGCCATTCTTGTTTATTGGTTGGCACAGGTTAGTCTGGCATGTTTGAGTTACAGGTATCTATAGCAGTAACTTTCAGACATGAGAAGGCACAGTTTAGGATTTGAAGCAAGCTGCACATTTGGGTTTTCAATTTGGGATGGCGAGTCTCGTGTGCCTGCACGGATGTTGTGTGTGTGGTCCTTGGGGACTCGATCTGAAAAGGTGGCCATTAAAACCTGTTTTTAAGATGCTCAATGGGCCCAATGGAAAGAGACCTATTCGATCTGATTTGAGGATCGCGTGACTGTAGCAATTGCACAGGCTATGTGTTAATCGTTATAAGTACGTTGAGACAGCTTATATGTCGGAATGCTCGAACTTTGCCTACGTCACCTGAACTGGCCCCACCATAAAATAACTATATCGCTTTAAAGTACGTTTTGACTGGATATATGTGCCAGGGCCCCCTAAGGGGTGTCTAATTAAAGCTCCTTAGAGGTGATTCGGGGTATCCATTAACCACCCCGAAACAGTGGTACCAATTCAGTGTTATTCCGTGTGTGTAGATCTTCCACCTCTACAGGCAGAGGGTGGCTTATCGACCTCCAAGGCTGCACAGGCAGGATCCGCGGGGTGAAGCTCCGGGTCACCCGGTGCCAACCGTTCATGTGAACCTCTGGGATGATGCCTGGGAGTGGGTGAGGTTGGACTCACCGATGTTCGCTTCCCATTTGGTTCGTGTAGTGCATGCATCACCACAAAACGCGGCAACATGTTATACGGCCCCGTGACCGGTGTTCATATTGTTTGTCTTGAACGATTGTATCTCGAGTTCGCAACGACTCGATCACTATACTTTTATCAAGTTCTTTATCAGTTGTATTTTGTTGGTGTCTTTTATATTTGGAACATTTTGAAACATGTCAATGTCATTGTCAATGTCATAGCTTGTATGAGGTGCAACATGTCAATGTCATTGCCCTGTTTGATCGACGCGACAAGATTGGGGTGTCTGATGCGGGGTCCAACGGCCAAAGGGGGGGCATGGTGATATATTATTTTGGGGGGAGTACCTGAAAGAATGAAAACTGAACATATGATGATCATAATTCAGTGACCAGCTCCCCACTGTGTTCAGAATAGTGGTCTATGACGTTTCCGGATTTGCAGACCGCGGGAGTGTGTGTGAGGATTTTGTTGGATCGAATTCCCTAGCACCAATGCATAAAGATTTCAACTGACGTTAGTAGTATTGTTTTGTTTTTCAGGAATTTGCAGTAGAAAGCCAACGTTCTGAGAGATACACATCGATTTACACAAGAATTGTCCAGGAGAAGGACTCCTCTCCGGTGGCGTAATGTTGGTGCATTTACGTGCCATTTGGATGGGGGCTGACTTCCACGGTCAACTTCCTGGCCAAGACATTAGCTTGTCACCAAGGTTGATAAAACGATGGAAACGATGGACCCTGTGCGGACGAAGGATTTCAGCTTCGAACATTGGGTGGTAAAGCAGAGTTATGCAAAGTTGTTTTTTAGTTTTTTTTTGGGGGGTCAAGCAAATCTCTCTGGATCGTCTACAAAGTTGATTTTTCTGACGGAAGACATTGCATCCTGACGGCGGCTGCGATCCGACACCGAGGACACCGCCGCGAGACCGCCGGTCTTCTTCCGAGCTGGTTCTGCTCCCCCCCAGCCCAAGGCCTTTTACAACACCACTTGAAACGCAGCTCCTTTCGTTTTTGGGGATGTCCCGTTGGTTTCATGAAAGTGCTCAAAAGCCTGTAGAACGACGGGTGGCTTCATTGAACAGCACTTTGTCACTATGCTTCCTGAATTGTGGCCGTGTACATCATGCGTGCGTATAGAACGATAAGCGGAACAATACCCCAGAATTGCACTGGATGCCTCGACAAACCACTCCCCTAGTTATTGGCCCGAAGACTTGTCCAAGAGCTCTCTTGCAGTGGCACATTCTAGGATCTAGGAACAACGTACAAAGACTAAAAATGATCGGGGGTTCTTCCATGAGGTCTGTTGTGTCCTTGCATTTCTGAGGAAGCCGCTGAGTTTGAACACCCAACCCTCGTAAAACGATAGGGGACCAGCTAGGCCTGAATCCTTTTGAGTTGGCGCGCAGCCACCGGACGACATGTCCACAGCCATTGGGTTCTCAGGAACACCACCCGGGACGACGCACAAAAGCACCCGCCGGCAAACCAGAACATGGTGATGTTTGTCTCGGGCAGAATTTTTAGCGTTGCTTTGATATGTTTTTTTTAAAATATAGTTGCATCTATTTGTTGTTTTTTTTGGCTGGACGTATCCCGAATGCACGGAATGCACAGGTGTCGCTGGTGGAGTCACTCGTGACGGGGGTACTGCAGGCGTGGACAGCAGTGATTGCTAAAAGCAACATTCAAAACCACATTGTTCATCATATTACGCTTATCCCAAAATTGGTTTAAGGGAAAATCTACAGGAAAGGTTGGGGGGTGAAAACATGGGTTTCCGGCAAATGATCCCTTAAACCGTTTATTGAGCCTAGGCCTAGGATAGCATTCTTGCTTTAAAGAAGACAGATGTGACAGACGTGTGTGTTAGTTGCACGAGCGGTGAGCCTGGAGAGAAACCTATGACTTGTGCGAGTGGTGTATAGTGTATGTGTCACCAACCTTTGCCC